CCTCTCCTGATTGGCTGCTGGGCTGCCACCCTCAGCCAGTAGCCAGTAGCAGTGGCAGCTGCCATGTGCGAGCTCTCCCTCAGTTTAGCCCCCCTTCCCAGTGCTGCTGCTATGCACACACCTGGGAGGGCATGGGGGCACATGCCCCCAGATCTGCACGCAGGGTAGGCTGGGGCTGCACCGGGCTGTTCCCAGAGGGTGGGGCTGGGCTATGCTCTGCTCGGTGCAGCAGTGCTGGAAGGGCGGTTTGGGGGCTACGGCAAATTCTGGATGGGTTGCAGCCCTCCTGTAGCTCCCTCCCAGTGCCATTGCTGCTGCCTGGCCCAGTCCCTACTGGGAAGAGTCCAGTGCTCTCCCGGCCCCAGCCCGCCCTGCACGCAGATATGGGTGTGTGCGCCTCCCTGGGTGTGCATGGCTCAGTCCCAGAAGAGCCTTTTTGTTTGCCCCTCTCTCCTGTCTCTGCACCCACTTGTCAACTCCCCTCTCCCATTTCTCCCACTTTCCCTGCAGCTACTGCTCCTACCTCTCGCTCTCCAGCTCCAGCTCTGGTAGGGCTCCAAAATGGTAGTGCCAGTGCCAGCAGCAAAGTTCCAGGCTTTGGCTTGAGTTGCTGTCACTGCAACAGCTGTTACTGGGCTGGAGTCACCACATGGTCTGTGCCCTAGGCTGGAGCTGGAGGGTAAATGACTGGGGAGGGAGAGGGTCTGGTGGGGCAGGCAGATGAGGGTGCAGCCACATGGCCCTCTGCCAGCTTGAGGGTATCTAACTGAGCTCAAGCTGTAGCTTCAGCAGTGTTAGCTCCAGAGGTCATTGGTTCAGTTAGTAACGTTGGCCAACATGTTTGCCACAATAAACTTAGCGCTTTCTGTGCTTCAGCATGTGACACTTCCTGTGTGGCAGGAGATCTTCTCTGCAAAAAATCTCTTGAAAGGCTGTAGGGAAAGGCTTTTCTTCTAGTACAAATGTAACACTGTCCATGGCCTCTATTGGTTTGGTCTATTCAAGCGAAGATGAAGAGGTAACTTGATTGTAGTCTGTAAATCCCTGCAGTGAAGAGATTTCTAAGGGTGGATTTGTAATATAGCAGAAAAAGTCATAAAGCAAACTGATAGTTGGAAAGAAGTTTGTCAAATTCAAATCTGGAAATAAGGTACACATTTTATCAGTGAGGGTCATAACCATTGGACAAAACATTTCCAAGGCATGTGGTTGTTTATCTAAACTTGATGTTTTAAGATCAAGACTAGGTGTCTTTCTAAATGAGATCAGTAGCTCAGACGGAACTTCTGGGCTTGATACAGAAACTGCTGAAGGTTTATGACCTTCGCTAGATGGGAAGCCAGACTTGATGATTATAATTAACCTTCATGGCTATGAGTCTATGAATTTGTGACTTGACTTGTGAGAGAGATATCTTATTCTTTATTGCATGTGTTTTTTCCAGTGCTTGGAGTAGTTTGTTACTGTATAAGGGAATCAATTGTATAACAGCATATGCCTACAAGAAACTAGCTAATGAATGCAAGCTGGAGTGTGGATTTAAAACAAAAACAAAGTTGATTATATCAGTGTTATTCAGTTCTCTCACCCTTTATCCATTGTTCATCAGCTTAAATTGCAGTAGTTTTCATCAGAAACTCTTCTTTGTTTTTAAGATCATGGACAACAGCTAGCTCACAGTGGAGGTTAGAGCAGACAAATAATAAAAATATGAACTATTCAAAATTGAAGCAAGAGGCTTCAGCTGAAGCCTAAGGAAGTCTGTAGGAATCTCTTCATTCATTTGGATGGGGTTTGAATAGGCTTCCAAGAAAATGTAGAGAACATTAAAACTATTTGTGAAGTTTCTCCCATAAAATTACTAAGACTATGGGTGCTTACAAGAATTGCAATTCTATTGATAGAATCATAGTTTCTTTGGTAGAAACCCGAGGTGTAGGAACAGTCACACGGCTTCTACTGGACCAACAGTAGCACACATAGTAGAAAAATCTGCTACCTACAGTAAGGTAGAAGCAGTGCACTGTAGTGTTTTCACTGGGGAAACAAATGCTTGTACACTTAATCTACTGATAGGAGCTGCTGTGTCACCATCTGACTTCCCAGCATCCATTGCTTAACTGTCTCCTTTCCCCCCTTCCCCTCCACTGCCACCATGGAGATGGTGTATGGCTCAGGGTGGACTCCATTGCTCCAGATGAGGACCCGGCAAACCCCTCCCCCTGACTGCTTTGAGACTAAGTCAGGGGCCCAGCCCTTTTCTCCAGTCCCATGCTGTGCTCCAGAGCTGCAGGGAGATGCAGTGGAGTAGAAGCAGCTGTATTCCCTTCACATGACCCAGAACTCCAAACCTAAAAACCAACTCTCAAAGATATCTAGACACCCCCCTAAGCCTTATACCCATATCCAAAGACTCCCCTGTACCATTACTGATGTGAACAGGTCTAAGCAAAGCTCTGCTTTTTGCATGAACTGGTTGCAGTGTTTCATGTTGGGGGAGGAGGGTGACAGACTGGTTCAGGAGGTGACCTGGGGCAGTTCAGGGCTTGTGTGTATGTGTCCGGGCCAGTTTGGGCTGCCAGGAAGGTGGCCTGAGGCAACTAGGACTTGGATGGGTATGGCCAGCAGAGAGGGAGGTGACCCAGGTAAGTTTGTATGGTCCCCAAATGGCTAACAGTGCATAAAAAATATAACAGGAAAGAGAAATGAGAGAAAATAAGTTTCCATACGATTGTAGTCCCAGATGATGTATATTGGCACAATTTCATTAACTTCAGTTGGACCAGATCCACAGTTGGGAAATAATCTATCACAAAAAATTGAAAGTTTCTTATATTTGTTACAGAAATTTGATTGTTCTTCTTGTTCTCTTCTTTATTGAGGGTACTGTCTACTTTTATCTCTCATATAAAAACTTTTCTGAGCAGTGCTTTAGATCCAATACTGCCAAATCCCTAGAGCTGCTTAGTCTTTAAGAATTGGAGTTTCCTGAAATATTGTTAGAGAAGGGAGATTTTCTTGCAGCCTGTGTGTATCACAAAGGCTGAATTGAGACATTTATTTATACAGTTCACCTCCCTGAGAGAGAGCAGTATTTCCGAAAAAAGTAATGAGGTATCAGGAGGGAAAAGGCTGCATAGAAGTATCTGTGAAGTACTTTTTGGAGGACTTATGATAAACAACCTAATTTTTTGGTACGTTGTTACTTTACTGTGTAGAGAGGTTTCACATTGTATAATGGAAAGATCTACTGTGTTCACAAACCATGTAAATAATTGTGCAAACCCACAGACCTTTTTGGCAGATATAAAATATTTTAGTCATATTTATACATGTGCCTTAATAAAGTGTTTGTTGATTAGGCTGCTATATGTTTAAAATAAAAATTGGTTAGGGGGAAGGAGCTGTTCTGTGTTGATTTAAGTGGTCATGTCTTTCAGGGAAGCTGGGAGAAGCGAATTCTGAAGAGCCTGAATAGCATGTGCACAGAACTCAGTATCCCATTAGCGCAGAAGGTACTGGGTCTTGAACTTCTTTTGTAATGTGAATTTACTATTTGTGAAAAGCTTCACATTGATATATTTGGAAACATAGTTTCCTGATTATGCCAGTATTTCTCATATGCTTACCTTTGCACATCCCATGGATATCGGGATTTGCAGGATGGGTCGTAGTATCTTCTAGGGGAAAGCACATTGCACAGTTAGAGTTGAGATTTGTCTTCATCCATATGTTTTGGCTATGCTCCGAAGGTGCCAGCACCAACATCAAGTTCTAGGTTCATCTTTCTCCTTTGGTATTTGACCTACATTCATTATAGTTAGCTGTACAAAGCAGGAACTATCAATGGTAAGTCTTCAACAGATTGATAAAAAGTACAAATTAAGGTTAGGAAACCAAATCTTGTTTTTCATGATGTACAAAGATTGTGACTCATTTGGCATAGATGACTGAGAACTGGTAGATAACCATGGCATCCGATCATGGCCAATGAGGGCCAGAGTTAATTGGGCAACCCAGGAGCAAAAGGCTAGATATACATTTATGGTATCCCTTTGTTATCTATGTTTCATTGTTTTGGTTTTTTTGTATGCATTTACAGAGATTTTATATCTAAATACACCAAAATAGGTGCATATGTATTATGGGGCAAATAATCTCTGCCTTTCTCCCCTGGAAGTCCTCATGAGTAGCAGAACTGCTGTGGTTCATTGTACAAGACAATAGAGAAGGTTGTGGGGAGGAATAGGTATATTTCTGCATTATTCTGTATGTGCAAACTGAACTAACACTTCAGAATTCTGGCAGCATGTAGAAAGAATCTGGCCTTTGGGCAGAGAGGTTCAAAGGAGTGGTCAGTAAATCCTCAACACAAGGAACTGACAGCCAGACAACCCTAAGATACTGCGCAGCTGCAGAGTGCCTGCACACAGAATTACTCCATGGCCACTGTTGGGGATTTCATCTATGCCTTGGTTGTAGTTGCGGCAGTACAGAGAATAGGTCCTCAGGCCAGTGTGAACTTACAAACTGAGAAATAAAAAAGCCTCTAATGGATGTTTGTTTTTCATTCAGGTTTGACTCGGCATATTTCAGATTTTTGGTTAATTCATATTGCCATTTTATGTTCTTGTGACTTACAGCGACCCATAAGTGAGCAAAAAGAACTTCTTAATAAATGGAATGAAATGGGAACTGATGAGCCAGGTACATTATATTAACTTTATGTGCATTTTTGCATGTTAATAAAACAATTACATATCTATCTCCATAATTAACAGTCAGAGATTATAGT